CTCTATTTACATTGCAGTTTCCATATAAACTGTAAAACTCCCTGCATAATTATAATAAAGCAATTTATATGCATGAAACAAGTGGAGCAGTATGGCAATTGCCGTACTGCTCCACTTGTGAAAGTAAAATCTGTTGGGCTCTTTTTGGCATCAAGACAATTATTCTTATTGCCACATTGCCAGACAGGACACTGTTAGAAAAAAAAAAAAAAAAAAGAATCTCCCACCTGAGCCAATGATCACTGCAGCTCCTCCAGTTACCAGGGGCCTCTAACCCTTAACGCTTTAAGCTATATTGACATCATAACACTAATATTGTATCTACAATATATTAAACTCAGGACTAGATGTGCTCTCTACTTCATTTTGTTGCCTTGTACTGTACCTGTGTAATGACAATAAAGTTGAATCTAATCTAGTGGCTTCTTAAAGGAAAACTCCGGTCAGCAAGGAATAACCAATGGGTCATTATTTATACCTAAAACTAATACGTTCACGGTGATTTAATGATTTTAGCGTTAATCAGTAAAAAAATAAAAACAATCATTTTCGTCGCAAACACCGAGTCTGGGCCCGGCCATTTTTGCCCAAATATAGTAACACCTCTCTCCTGACAATTTCCGGCAGTAACGTCACGGTGCGGTAAGCCGAGCGCCATTCTCCCCGCTTTACAAAGAAATCAGCGAGAACTACTAGACAGTCTGCAATCAACAACAGTTATTGAAGATTTCGGGAGGACTTCACCATTGAAATTCACGAGAGCTATAGTTCAACTGACAATGCCCGCGTGCATGGCAGTTGGATGTTGTAATATATCTGTTAAAAGTGAAAAGAAAAAAAAATAGTTATTTCACCTTTCCGATTCATGATCGTCCACGGGTTCATCATTGGATTGCAGACTTGAAGAGGGAGGATTAGCCATCCAACTTTTGGACACAGAAAAAACAAGTGCTCTGTGCTTCGCCTATCCTCTGGTCACCACCATCATAATAGCGCATTGTGGCAAACACCAGATGTAGCATTGGGACTTGATCAACAGCCGATACCGCACTGTGATTTCACAAACCGGTAGATGGCAGTAGTGTTCTTTGACAAACATGGATGTCTTTGGTAAAGCATATTCAAATGAAATTACTCCTAATTAAAACACTTATCATTTATAGAAAAGTATGTAAAAAAAACTCATACTTAAACTAATTTGAGAAGTTTGTACCCTGAATGTAACCAGACTTTTCCTTTGAGTAAATGAGTTGCATTTACTTTTATTTCAGAGTTTTAAAGCAGCAGGATGAGTAGAAATATGCAGGTTTTAGGTTTTGTAAAAAATAAAAAAAAATGAAAACTAATTGTGTATCACTTTCATTATGCTTTATAAGCAAACAAGGCTTATTTTATGTTCTGCAAAAAAATATCCAATTAAAGAAGTTTGGTGGTTCCAACATTACAGCATGTGAAAAGTTCGAAGGAGTTTAAATACTTTATTTAGGGTGCTGTATATTGCCCTTTTCATGTTTACAAAATATCTTGTATTACATTAATTTTCCCTAGACCTACTGTAAATAATGTTTCTGTGGCCATAAAGCAAATGATTAAAGTAAGAACTAAAGAGTTTGCAATTCAAACTGATTATTTCTCATTTAATTATTCGATTAATCGTAAAGATAAATGAAAAGCAAAATAAAAAATGTGCACAAATGCAGGCTGTTTGTGCAAATGGACATTTTTTCTTATCTGTTGTTTTACTTCCAAATTCTGCCTCAACGCTCTCATTAAATTGTTATGATGAGTAATGTACATAAATATTTTTATAAGGATTTCTGTGCTCCAGTGATTTCTAATGTTTGAATTTAGTTTCATTGCTTCTTTTATTCTTTCATCATTTCTCTTCATTTATTTCAAAGCTTCTTTCATCACCTCGTTATTTTCATTATTCCCACCAATGTTTGAATTTTCTTTTCTCACTTCAAATCCATTACAACAGTGTACCATCCCTGCGGCCATCCACCGGCAATGTTATTATCTTTAATTTAGTATTTTTAATTGTTTCTGGGGTTTATAGGCTCAATCTGTTTGAATCAACGTGTTAAGAGATGGGGCCAGTTTAATAAGATAACCAGAGAGCATTGCTGCAGGGTTTTTTCTGCAAGAAGCTCTTGTTCTTCCATCAATTATAGCACTTAAAAGCTCCACCAACCGGAAACAATGAGGGATTAGCGGAGCTGCAGCGCATCTAATTCTAACATGACAAATGCTGCATAATGGTTTTGTTTTCTTGCTTGAATTTTTATTTAACTGATAAAGAAATCATTTCACTGAATATTTTTTATCACCAGATATCATCTTAATTTGAAGTTTATTCCTGTGAAATGTTGATGTCTAACTTTCTATCCTTGAATGTTCAGTCAGAGGGTATTATTAAATTATTCCAATATCTGTAAATGCGAAATTCAGACTACAAAACTTCAAGCTAGAATGAATTTTCTCTGGTCATGAGGTTTGAGATTGTGCCAAAGATCTTCGTTCTAAGAGCTTAAACAGTAAAGTAAATAAAGGGCCCTCTTTTAATTTAAATGCTTTCGTTCACATCACTTCTAGTCATTTCTACACTGATCAGTCTAGATTTTAGCCACGCTTTCGGCTTTGAAAAACTGGACTCACCCGCATCGCCTGATCTCAAACCTTTTCCTGCTGCATCATCATATACCACCAGCTCCGTTCCTGGATGGATGTCCTGACAAACACGCAGACACACATCCACACACACTCCCTCACACACCTTGTCACACGCACACTGCACCACCACATTCTGCTGGGCTCTGCATCGCGCCCGGCAGGCAAATCTAAGGGATAAAAAACGTAAATGACATATTTAATCTGAATGCAACTGATTGGTTGGAAACTCTGATTATACTGAAGCATCTGTAGCATGATGATGTGGGAATAAAGTTTACATTATGAATAATGCAGCCATAGTGAGTATTAGGAGAAGTACTTATTTTAAAAGTTTATGTAAATGTCCCTCTTAGTAGATTATCACATGAATCTAGCATAATAACTAGCATAATTTTTTTCTCTCCTCCTTTTAGTTTCCCTCTGTGGTGAAGAAAAATAGGGCAGTGTTTAATCAGGGCACCTCAGAGTACACAGCCTGGAGCAGAAGACAATGATTTCCAAGATGTAACTATCAACAGATCAGAGGAGTGGATGATAATGAGACAACAGCAGTGAAAGAACAGCTCACTAAAAGACAAAAATGATCTGAAATATAAGGGATAGAGTGGGAACAGGACAGAAGTATCAACAATCCTCATCCAAGAATGATCTGAAGTCCTGACCATTAAATTTGGGATTTTTTTTTTATGTCTGCAGGTTTTTAGCTCATATTTAATCCAGGTATTCTGGATGAAATAATGAAGATTGAAACAAATTGACTAAATTCCTGAGGTGATTAGTTTTTTTCAAAGGAACTACTGAAGTCTTGTTGGCCGCCTTATGTTGAGAAAACCAGGGCGGAGAGGGATTAGGTTCATTGGTGGCTTTTTCAAACGCATGAATATTTGAGGGATATGTTACTAACACTCATATTCAATATCAATTAGGGTTCTACTGGAAAAGGTTGTGTGCAAAGATCTAAACTAATTGCTAAAGTGAATCCTCTTGTCTGACTAGAATAAGAGTTACCGTGACTCGAGTCTTTTAAGAAAACTTACGCATAACTTTACAACACAAAATGCAGAGAGAATTGAAACTGGATCCGAGTGGAGAAAAAGAAGAACAGGCGGAGGTTCTTGACCTCTTTCATTTTCTGATTATATTGTTTGCAATTCAGTGAAGGCTCAGAAAATGTTCTCCTTCTCTATTTACTTTTGTACAAATTACTGTGTAGACTTACTTGAACCATATGGCTCCTTGTACAGGTGCCTCTGGAGTTGCTGATGTTCTCATTTGTTCCTATAAAACACAAAAGCAATTAGTTTGTTAAGGAGTTCCACAGGGTTTGATGCTTGGACCAGTGTTTTAAAAAGACATTTGGAAAACATTGAATAAACTTTACTTATCAAAGTAACTTTACTATGGGTAAGCTTACTTTGATAACTTTACCCATAAAGTACAATTAATTATATTACATATTTGTATTACAAAAATCCCTTTAATGATAAATGTTTTTCAAGCTGTTGTCAGGTGTTTTGACGAACTATTCATATATTCAACCAGTCTGGAGTGTTTTTTCTAGAACAGATATAAATACTACACAAACCGGGACATGTTGGTAAATCCAATACTAGAGAAGCTTCGACGAACTTCCTCCTTACCTGCAGAATCTTCGCAAAACTAGACCGTATGTCTCAATCCAGAAAAACAACCTCATGCATTTTTTATTTTAAGTCTTAACAATACTTCTTTCTTATCAGAAAGTTTTTTTTTTTTTTTTATCCAGTAAAAATCCACCAAGTTTATCCAAAATGCTGCAAGGAGCATTACAATGAGAATTAGAATAAAGCTTTAAATCACAGGCCTTTATTTTTTATTAAGAGCACGTCTGAGCCAGGGTTTCAGTTTACCTCTATGTCGTCGCTTTGTTACCCTTAATCTCAGTACTTCCTCTATTTGGCCTGACTATTCATCAACAGTATAAATAAAACCGGTCGTAATTGCTGTCCTGGTCAGACTCAGACGGACAGGTTGTGCTTTTACAGCGCCTCTTTAAGACTCCTTGAAAACTATCACCGCTACATCCCTTCATGTGAGCAGCGCCTCACTGGTTCGCTTTGCATTTTCTGACCAGAACATTTGGTAAAAAAATTCTAAGGACCAATTCATTATCTTGCCGTGGTGTCAAAGGCTTAATTGAGCACAATGTCTCGCACTTAGTTCATCCTTTCTGCCTGCAAACGATGCAAAATAGCGTCAGACCAAGACACCATTATGAAGAAATTCAAGGTTGAAGCAAACTGATGCCTTGAAGTCACTCAGACATGGAGGATTCTGGCAATTTAACAGCCAGACAGAAGCTATGGTTATGAAACCAGCATCTTTAGGACAGAGCGTTTGCTGCTTTTTATATTCTAAATGTCCATTCTAGTTCAAGTGCACGGGTAAAAACAGGCCATAAAATATGCTTAGTGAATGCCTCATTCCACAGGTTTGAAGTCTGAGGATAAAATAAATCTGTTATGGATTCTAAAATTGGCACTAAATCCAAAATGTTTTATGGTGATGCAGTTTAATAGGCTGCGGATATGAAAACTGTAATCAAGATATCAAAAAAAAAGACTATTGATTGAACAAAATGAAAATATTCAAGGAAACAAGAGCAATTAAAAATGTTGAAGAGGTTCATTTGTCAAATGCATGCATTTCACTTTCAGCAGCTCCTTCACAGAACCGCTACTGATCTTTCATGCAATTTCTTCCTGAGTATTTACTGCAAAAACCTACCAGAATGAGTGAAAGACTTAAAATAAAAAATAAAAATAGAAATAAATTCAACAAACACGTCATACAGAATACATAGTCTCAATTTGAGGTTTTGATTGCCATGTAGCTGCACTAACTGTAACTGTGAAATGGTAAGCATGCCACGAAACGGAAGATACCGCTGTACCAAAATAACTGTCTACAGTGAAGCCTGTTTATATTTTGCATGGCAGCCAAGAAAGAATGTCCAAAACTCATCTTTAAGTTGTACCACAAGTCAAATGCATACTTCCTCTAAAGGAGTCAGACAAGACAATCCTTGAAATGTTTTTTCACAATGACATGAAGTTGACTGATGATAGAAGGCCTAAAAACACAATACCATGTGCCAACATGGTGGAGTCACTATTATGCTGTGGGGCAAAGTCACTGCCATTGTTATGGGTTCATTGCAAAAAATGAACAAACAAATAAACACAGAGACCTACAACAATATTCCTTAAATTTACCTGAATTCAGAAGCCAGATGGCTTAAACAAGGGCAAAACATGGAGGAAAATGATCTCAATCATATTCAACCCTCCATTTCATAAAAGAAGTATACTTACTATGCGATTTGTGCTTAAACTCTTTATAGGGTACTTGTTGAAATACTTGGAAAATCAAAATTTCAAGCCAATAGTATTATTGGACTCCAGGATAGGACCTTATTACCTTTGTAACATTCAAAGAATATGGATATTTTGATGGCAAAAAATAATGTCAATGTAATAACAAGAAACACCAACTTGCCCGAATATATTAAGAAAAGTATCAGAATAGCTTCTATAAGAAATTCATGAAAAACAGTAAAAAAAAATTGAGTAAAAGAAACAATTTTTTTTTTTTTTTTAGGTACAACATAACCTCAGAGGAATTAATGCTGATACTGGCACTTACATTTTTTCAGTTTATAAAATAAATATAATTGTTTACTAGGCTTATTAACTTTTTAAGTTTACTTTTCAACTTTCCAATAAGCTTTTTACCTTTTTTTCTTGACTTGTTTACTTTTTTTTTTTTTCAACTTAATTTACAGTAGAACATTTGCACCAAAATCATAAAAAAAAATAATCAGGCTGTGGGTTGAAAATTCACACATACTGAAAAAAAGGCAAAAGCAAATAAATAAAATGTCTTAATATGTGTAGCAAGTAAGTTTAAATAAAAAATCTTAATTAAAATAAAAGAAGCTTCTTTATTTATCTCTTCAAAAAATGTATTCTGTTTGCTGTTCTTTTCTTTTTCTAGTAAAGTAGCAGTAATTTAAAACACACAGCAGACATGTAAAATTAACGATTATAAAAATGAGCCTTAAGCCTAACCACTAACCAGAGATGAGGTATATGAATTTAAGTTTGTCTCTTATAAGGTGTTAAGATTTAAAACAAAATTTGAAATTTTATCAATTTTGTAATTTAGCAAATAAATTAAAACCAAACATATTTTAGTAGGAAAAATGGCCCTTCAAATATCTGTCTAAAAGCTTTTTCACCTTCTTATCCCCAGAGCTGCTAAAACCAACTCTTGTTGCTTGATTGCTTCCAGTGGGTTCGCTGCCCTGGATGTGGTTTTCTGGGCCTGGAACTCTCTTGGCGACCCACTGCGTGTCATCCCGCCTACCTAGCAGGGCTCCTGCCTGCAGGGCGCGACCGACCCACCAGAGCCCCACGCTACCTTCACAGAGCAGTGAAGGGCCCAAGGCGAAGCCATGGGGAATCACAGAGGAAATGAAGGAGGTGAGATCCGACAGGATGGGCGGCAGAGGACAGGCCATTCAGCTGGAGAGGAAAATAAAATGCAGATCATGATTACATGTGAGAGCACTATTGCGGTAATGTAATAACTATTACCTTGGTTAAAGTAAAAGTCTGGTCAGCAAGGAAGAATCAGTGGATCATTATTTATACCTAACACTAATACCGTTGCGGTGATTTAACAAATTTAGCTTTAATCAGGAAAAAAATAAAAATAATAATTTTTGTTGCAAGCAGAGTCCGGGAGCGGCCGTTTTTACGCAAATATAGTAACACCTCATCTTCCGGCAGTGACGTCACGGTGCAGTAAACCTGGCGCCATTCTCCCCACTTAACAAACAAAATCAATGAAAAATACCAGACAACCTTGCAATCAGCAACAATTATTTAAGATTTCGAGAGGACTTCACCATTGAAACTCACGAGAGCTAAGTGACAATGCCCATGTGCATGGCAGTTGTAACATATCAGGTAAAAGTGAAAAAAAATGTTTATTTCTGCTTTCCAATTAATTATCCTCCATGGGTTTATCATTGGATTGCCAACTTGAAGAGGGAGGATTAGCCATCGAACTTCTGGCCAGACAAAAAAACAAGTCATGAATCTGTTACTCTCTGCTTCGCATGGTGCAATGGTCGTCGCCATCATGGAAAATAGCGTGTTGTGACAAACACCAGGTACAGCACTGGGACTGCATTTGAATTTATGGGATGCGTCCTCTGAAGGCCAGATGTGAAGGCCGATTTCGTCACAGCGTGGTGGTGAGATCTGGTCGGATTCCAAGACACCTCATAATGTGGTCTACAAATTTGTCCTTTTTGTCCGATTTGAAGGACGGGTCCGGTGTATCCTATGTAGCCTTGGTTATTCCGAGATTCATTGCGAGACCAAGCAAGCCGGCTGCTCCTTGATCAGAGAAAGAAGGCACTTGGCGCTAAACAGTGGTGAATACTGGAAGTTCAGTTTAATATAATACAAGTATGTGAATAGTTCTGTCTAAAATTAATGAAAATAGTTGTTTTAATTGTTATTGAGTCAGATATTTGGTGGTAATGTTTACGTAAAGGTTTTATCTGTCTCTGTGTAAATGGGTTTGGCTGTAATTTAAGGACAGATTCTAATATAGCTGTAGTGTGGTGACTACAAATCTGATATTTTTATTTTTAATTGCTATTTTGCACAATTTTCTTAACTACGTAATTTTTGTTGTTGAATATTAGAGGTTTTCTAGATATATTTTTATACATACATTGTTTAGATTTACTTATATCTTTCTACCCCTTTGACAGAATATAACAGAATAGAAAACCCCTTTCTGGTGAAATTCTGGTGTTTACAGCAGCAAAAAAATTGTAGGAAAAAATGCTCACACAAAAGTGGACCTTTGAAAAACGTATAAGAATAACATTATAGTGTAGAGTTAAAAGATAAACAATAAAATACTGTACTGTAAAGTGTTTTAACAATATAAAAAACTGTGCACCTGGAGAATAAATAACCAATATGCAGCTATGGACATTTTTACAGTAATGGATTTTTGAAAATAGCAGCAACATCAGAGAAGTTATTTAACGGACTAGGGTTTATATCATTACATTGGCTTTTATTTGTTCATGCTCCCGGTTGTTGTCACCTTTAATAAACTCTGCATTCTCATGAGTTTGTTCACTTTACAATAAAAAGAAGAAAAATAATTAAAAAGAAACAGTTTTGAAAAGTTCAGTATTGATTCTTTTCCTGTTTTGTATATCACATGTACCAGTGGCTAAGCGACAGAGCATAGGTGGAGAAAGCAGAAGGCTAGATAGACCTGTTTGAATTCACAGCCAAAACCTCTTCTGTTCTCCTCATGGACTTCGAAGGATCCAGTCCAGGTGAACTGCGTCCTTGGAAGACGGAGCCCACAAATTCGGACGCAGCCAGGGACTTGTTCAACAGCCGATACTGCACCGTGACGTCACAAACCAGTAGGTGGCAATAGTGCTGTTTGACAAACAAGGATGGATTCAAATTGAATTGCTCTTGAAAACACTTATCATTTATTCAAAAGTAGCCTATGTCATAATTTCATACTTAAAGTACTTTCAGAAGTTTGCATTCTAAATGTGATCGGACTTTTCCATTAAGATATATGATCAAATTACAGCCAAAAACAGAATCAATTAAATAAATAAAACTAATTAATTAGATTCCATTTCAGTGGTTTACCTGAACAACGTTTCGGCTCCTGATAAATTATATTGATAACAAACAAGAGATGTGAAAGGCTAACTGATAGTATAATTATTAAACATCAGTTTTTAAAAAAAGATGTATTTCAAGTAAAAATAAATGTGATTCCCTTCAATAACAGTTCTATTTTTGAGGGTGCAAAAAAGTATTGCTATGTTTTACTACATTAATCAAAAACACAGTAAAGAGATAATTAATGATGATAAATGAATGATTTATGAATTTCTTAAATTGTGACACATTTGCATGATCCATAAGGTTACGAAAGGTAGTCAATATAACTTAACATAAAAACACACTGTCACATTAGTCATCAACCGTATTTGTGTTAGTTTGAATCGCATCTTACAACTCAGAGAAACTCACAGCTGACCAGCAATATTATCAGGGGGTTAGCCTCTTAACGTGAAGCGAAACGTGTTTTTATTCGGTTTCATATTAAGTGGTGCCTTGTTTATAAAGCGTATGAAAGCAGTTGATTAAACATAGAAATATTCAATGAGGCACAAGAGCTGGTTGCGGGAGTAAACGTTGTAATGTATATATAAAAAAAAAAGCATAACATTATATTAGCATCGGTTAGCTCCGGCTAACAGACTACTTTTAAAACCGAAAAACACCTTGAACTAAACAGGCTGAGAAAATATGTTTATACATACACCCGATGTGTTCGGTGTCTTGAAACGATAATTATATGTTTCAAAACCTGCTTTTACTTAGCTAAAACTTTCCCTGGGAAAGCTATCGCTATCCAGCAAAGGGAAACAAATAAATAGAGGCTCGGTCGGAAACACTGGTTTTCATATATTTCGTTCCGCCAGTTTTTAAATTTGATGTTAATTATGGATTTAAGAAAAGTAATCACACAGATAAAACTTATAAATATGCAATGGTTTGCATAGCACACCATATAAATAATAGTGTTAATTAAAATTATAATGTAGCGATTTATAGGTATTATCCTAATCTTTTTTTTAAAAGGGACAGTTATATATATTTAAACTGCAATAACATATTTCTAAAAATATTTGTTATAGTTGTTTTACAAAGGAAAACATGTAGCCTATGATTAATTTTCTTATATGATTGAACAGTTTTACACATGTCCACAGATATAACTTTAAAAGTGAATCCAGAAGAAGCGACATGACACCATATGCTCAATAGTTTCATCCACACAACCAAAAATATATATTTATATATTTGCCATTGAAAGGTAATACAGATGTGCAATTTTAAAAATAACCTCTTTGATTTTGTTCATAACTACGAGGGGCGTTCAATAAGTAATGCCTCTGGCCCACTTCCAGATGTTTGATCGAGCTGAAATTTTGCATGTGAAGTATTTTAAATCTCTATAGATTAAATAGCAAATTACAGCTCTGAACTAATTGTGGTTTCTGATTTACCGGTGTTAAAACTGAATCAAGTCTGAGTTTTTGTATTTGAAATGACGCACACAATGGGAGACTTTTGATCACATGAAAGAAACTTATAGTTACTTTCATTTGATAATGTCCCATAATATAACCTTGTAAAACATTTCGCAAGGTCATGTAACGGTATCTTCACCGTAAATTACTTTAATTTCATCAAAAGTCTCCCGTGTCCTTTCCAATAGAAAAGCTCATCGCTCGACACTCAACAGGCTCCATTTCAGACTTTACTCAATTCAAACACCTGTAAGTCAGAAACGACAAGTTGTTCAGAGCTGTAATTTGCTACTTAATCTATAGAGATTTAAATAACTTCACATGCAAAGTTTCAGCTGGATGTGGGTCAGGGGCATTACTTAATGAACGCCCCTCGTATATCATTAAAGTAGCAGGAAGATCAAGTTCCAGAGTTTCATGTCCATGAGAGTTAATTGATGCTTACATATAGGGGTAGCAACTGGAACAAACCAGTTCCTTAAAAAACAATTTTTACATCTCTTATCTGTAAGTTGAATACCAGAAACAGTAGGAGAAGAGCGTTATACAGGTAGAGAGGTAACTGCTATGATGTTCTGTGCTAAAGAGATCATACCGATAGGAGTACAACTGATCACCATTTCAACCTCTGTTATAGAGTTATCGATACCATATTTTCTTATAAAGGATTAGGAGTAAAATTCCCCATTTGCATTCATTAGACCATTTAAAGTGTTACAATTATTTATAAAACAGCTCTATATAAAAATGTTTTGCTTTATGTACTAAATGCATGTTGTTCCATAGAATACAGTTGTGAGGTGAAGAGTTGATTATCCACCAGCTGCATCTTATTATTGCTAAAGTATTAAAATAGAGTTAAACTTTTTTGACAGAGAAGCCAATAAGAACAGCAAGATGAAGCAAAGTCGCCATCTAGAGTCAGTCTTTACAAATGGTTTAATATTGCCAGCAGACTGCACGTTTATGAGAATTAACCAAATTTATATTGTATCTTTAATATGGTTTTCCAACTGTGAATTATAAACGGATCTTTCTCTTTCCTTAATCACGTCAACAACAAAAAAATGGACGCACTTTGTAAAATATAAAATATATGATCAATCAATCAATAAATCATGCATATTGGTTTACATCAAAGCTGCTTTATAAAATCCGAATACTTTCATACTTCATTAGCTTATTTGGGCTTAAGTGCTTTGCCCATTGGCACATCAACATATGGTAACTACAATCAAACCCACAAGTTTGCAAAACCACTATTTGTCCTATTGATCCACAATCTTATCTTATTTTTGTTTTTAAATATTGCTTTTGCTTTCAAATTGAAAGGTTAAAAACTGTTTATATAAAAGTAAAAGTATGTTATTTTTCATTTTAATATTTATTGAATTTTAGGTCTTAAGTTTTAGGATCTTAAGTTTAATTAATCTGGTTATTTATTTACAACCTTCGCCCACAAGGTTAGGCTTTTAGTTATTGGTGTGTGCATGTGTGTATGGGTGTGTTTGTCTGTCTGTGAACAGATGACCTTGAAAAGTTATGAAGGTATTTTTAAGAAATATTTTACCAAAAGTGCACCTCAGCCCAAGAAATAATCCACAAAAATTTGGTAAGGCCCCAGATCATGTGTGAGTTTTAGCTATAGGTCTAAGTCAGAATAAGGGGCAAGTTTTGCTGCTTGCATTGGCTCAGAGTGCTTTTCTAAATTATTTATGTAATTATTATTATTTTTTTTTTTATTTGTATTGCTTTGTGGCGACCTAGTGGTTAAGGAATTGAGCTTGAAATCCCAAGGTTCTAAGCCCCACCCCCACAGACTGTCACTCTGGGTCTCTAAGCAAGACCCTTAACCCCTGATTGCTCCCCGGGCGCCCCACGATGGCAGCCCACTGCTCCCCAATGGGATGGGTTAAATGCACAGGTAAATTTCTCTGATGTGAGATCAATAAAAAAAGTTAAATTCAATCAAATTGTTTTAAGTTTTATTATTTCCAGTATCTGCTTAGCCTTACAGTCATTTTCTTCGACTTAATAAGTCTCTCAAACATTTTATCATCATATTTGCTTTGTTGCCTATAAGAACCACTTTGGTCCAAGTTTTGAATGTTGGAAAAAATTGTTTACATTTGACTCAATTTGACTGTGAGAGAACTCATGGTCCACTTACTGACTGCAAGCAATTAAGATCCTGTGGCTGCAACACAGCCCACATCATCAGCCTTCCACCGCTGTGGCTGACAGTACAGCAGATACACTCTGCATTAACCTGCTAGCTAAACTCAATTGTTAGGATTATTTTGTTGTTGTTGTAATTTCCTCTTCTGAGAATTATCTAGGGCATTCTCCTTGGAAGATTGCCGACCGTATTAAAGGCTGAAATCCAAAAATGTATCTCTTTAAAGAATAAAGAGCTTTAAATAACTTTATAATCACTTTCAGATTGATGGACAGCAATGGTTGCTTCTCTAAGTTCATTGCTCCTTTCAGCCATTGTATAATGTTCACACATCCCCATATTCTCCTGAGCAGTAAACTCCCCAAACCTTACATCCTTACTAAGGATAAGAGTCAGCTGTTTGGTTGAAAAAGGTTTCCTAAGTTGTAAGGAGACGAGGTTTCCTCATTTTAGGCTTTAGAAATAAGCCAAACTTGCTCAGTCTTTTCTTATTGTCCTGAAAGATTAAAAACATGGAAGCAGCATCTGCAAACTTTGATTTCAGTTGTACAATATCCTTAAATAAAGAGGCATTAAATATTGACACCCCAGGAATGAACAGGTGCGGTTAGGGTGAGAAGAGGAGAGCTTGTAAAAGAACTGCATTCAGAAGTTAAGTCATACGACAACCCTGCCTGTTAGGCAAACAGAAATTCACTATGTTGTTATTATTTCTGTGAGTCAAAGAGCTATCTATTTATTCCACGTACCGCTGCAGGAACACTAAGCCCTCTGAGACTTGGGTAAACAGGTGAAAGGCGATTAAGTCATCCTTACCAAGAGCATTCAGGAGGAGGTCCACAATACTGAGAAACAGACTGTAAAAACTCATTCCTCTTTTCTTTGGGGGGGTTTATCAGGTTTTTCCACAAAACTTCTGTTTTTTTCCAAACAGAAATTACTCACACACTTAGTGTCACACAAGGATGAAACAGACAAACAAAAATAACTTTGTGTCATTTACTTTGTCTGTATATGCCTCATACACATATTTTTAAATTTTGCATGACACTTTTCCAGCATGTTGCTAGTTTTTCTCCACATTTTCCCATCATCAATAAATCCCATGGAATCCATCACAGTTTCAGTGTGTTTCCATAGAATAAGAGAATAAAAATCAGTAATATTCAAAAAGCCAAAAGTTGGGAATTTGAATGTGATCTAAATAACAAATAAAGGGCAAGTATAAAATTTCAAAGCAATGTGCTCATGAAATATTCATCAGAATAGATAAAACATTAAAGGAAAATGTCTCTAATTCATTATCATATTTGTTATAAACTGAAACAAATCAATATAGAGAATCAATTCTGACAATTTGAAGGAAATTATAGAGAGAGTTTAAATAGACATAATTATTCACACAGGCAGACATTCTCAGTATGTTGAAATAATCATGTTTCATTTTTTAACAAAAAAGTAAAGATCCTTGATTCCATATTTTCTTGATTGAAACATCTGGAAACTGGTTAAGCTCCTCCTGCCAAAGGCTCACTCACAAAGCAGTGGCTTCTTTTACTGTCTAGGTATCTGTAAATTGCAGGGTCTACATGATATTAAATAAGGCAATTATTATTAAGGTGAAATGTCTCAATGTATAATTTTATTAATACTTGCAATATGAATTATTTGATTTGTATGCATTTAATGCTCAGTGGCGCAGTGGGAAGCTTCTGGGTTCTGAGTTTGCATGTTCTCCCTGAGCATGCCTGGGTTCTCTCCGGGTACTCCGGCTTCCTCCCACAGTCCAAAAAACATGTCTGTTAGGTTAACTGGCTTCACTAGTCCGTTTGTAGGTGGGAGTGTGTGCGAGAATGGTTGTTTATCTCTGTGTTGCCCTGCGATGGACTGGCAACCTGTCCAAGGTAAACCCCGCCTCTCGCCCATTGACAGCTGGAGATAGGCACCAGCACCCGTTGCGACCCCACTTGGGACTAAGCGTGTTAGAAAAGGCCTAGGCCTAGTGGTTAGGGCATAGGGCTTTGAATCCTGAGATTGGGAGTTCGATCCCCCACTCCCCCAGACTGCCACTCTGGGTCCCTGAGCAAGACCCTTAACCCCACACTGCTCCCCGGGTGCCGCACAATGGCAGCCCACTGCTCCCCAAGGGGATGGGTTAAATGCAGAGATAAATTTCTCCAATGTGAGATCAATAATGTTGAATTTAATTTTAATGATAATTGTATTCCTATTGATTTATTAAGCAACTCTCTCCATACTTGGGGACAGTTGCAACACTTGACAAATTCCTTTCAGCTTTATGTTAGTCGCTTTATATCAAGGTTCTACGTCTTGCACCTGTATGGGTGTTAAGGCCCTACGTTTTAAGGGACAGGTATACATTTAATTTCTATGAATATCCTGGTTCTAATTCAAATAACTTGTGAGAGATTGATAGAAATGTTGCAACTCTTCCCGCTCTCTCCTACATCAAATTAGTAATTACAGAAATCTGTCAGCTCCATTATTTTCTAAACAAAGGAAAAGCTTTTCACTGGGCTGACATGAAATCAACGGAGGGTTAGTACGTAGGGGTAGTGTTTAGGGGCCGGTCTGGGATTGGGCCAAGTTCTTTAGAGTCCTGCTAATTGCTTGAAGATTTGACTCAGGTGTGTTAAAGCGGCGACACATCTAAAAGGTGCAGGACATCAGAGCTTGAGGACTGAAATTGAAGAACCCTGCTCTAGGGAGTCTAAATTTGCTCATAAGCCAGTGATCATCATGAGCCAAGAAATTATGGTTAACCCTGAAACGCATTCCTTCCTTAGTCTACTGTTTTTAATATCCTCAAGCAGAACCAACAAGCATCTGTTGTGCACCGTTTTGCACGTGTGTCACAACAGCACTTAAAATGTTTACAGCAAACAGTGTAGATTTTTCTCACTTTGTAACATGTTGGTGATCTACGGTACAACTCACCTTGTTAACCATCTTAGAGAGAAATATCATGGGGAGAAAATGTTTGAATATTGTGAGGACTTAGATTTGGGATTTAAAAAGGGTTATGAATTTTTTTTTTTTTTTTTTATGTGATAAATCCTTGTGTATAGTGGCAGCTCAGCACTGCAAGCATATATAACAAAGCAAAAGTTGATCTACAATTTAAGTTTCATATGAAGTGAAAATAAATGCCTGAGAGGAGATATGATGCATTCTGGATTCAGTTCCCTACCTGACCATCTAAGTTTCCAATGTCTTCACAATCTGCATTCTTTAAACTAATGGGTCACTGTGGCCACAGATTCCTATGCAAAGCTTGATTTATATAGGTCTTGGCATGGATTAATGACATCTGCAAGTTTCGGTCCCTGCTTTGTGCATAATCTATCTTTATAGATGAGACCCCAGATCTGGATAAGTTGCTTACTGTAGGTAAAATGTTATGTCTCTTTCATTTCTTCTTCATTTCCTGTCTTCGAGGCTGTAGAGAAAAGGCCACCACTTAACACAAAAACCGAGACCCAACTGCTGTTATCTATCGAAGTGGCTGAAACAGATCCACAACAGACACGCCTATTGCATTTTTGCTTTATTGTGCAGAAGGTGATAACATGAGGCACAGCCCCGGCAAGCAGCAACAGTGATGAAACTCAAAGGCACAAATGACATAAAGCCCAAAGAGCTGGAAGTTTACATAAAGGTTATATCCTCTTGAGTTGAAAACATGAGAGAGCACTTGTGCACTGCACAGAACTAGGAAATGTGATAAATGAAAACACAGATAAAATGCTGTAAATAAACCCAACATGACAAACTAATCGTCTTAAGCATTTTATATTATTCCCCAAACCAAAAACATGGAGCTCTGTGCTGCTGCTGTAGTCTCATATAACCAAACAGAACTCTTTGCAATCCAAAAGTAAATTTTTTTTCCCAAGTTAAAATGCTTTAAAGGTCACATTCTTATCCAGCCATTTATTTTTTGCACAAAAAAAACTCATTTTTTTATATGTTTTTGGAGCAAAAGTCACAATGAGCTAAACCTTCAGCCAATGGACAAGATGCATATTTGTAACAGTATTCCTGCTGGCCTCTAGGCCCCAAATGTTGGTTCATTAAGTACCTGCTTCTCAACTGTGAAAGATTATATAAAAAAAAAAAAACAATAGACCTATTCACTTTATATTTTGGTATTTTCCATAAAATACTTTCATAAATTATTGTTGCAAGTCATTAAGATATACAGACTTTTGTCCTAAATGGCCAGATGTGTTTTTATTTTATATTAAAGCTAAAGCTGAAACAATCAGAAATCTGTATTGTACATTCAGGCGAATACAGTGTGCAATTCATATTAGTGGGATCTTAAAGAAATACTGGGTGTTTTTGTGTTTAAATATTTTCTCTTCCAGCTGCATTTACAGTCTTGTACTTGTTTTTATTCAAAGTCAAAACCCTTATTAGCATAGTTGTGCAGGAAGAGAGTTAATACGTTCAGATAGACAATAAAAAAAAAACATATTGTGTTTCTGCATGAGGTAAACAATACCCCCCTATGTAATTTACAGGTTTGATATAATATATTGATATAGCTTTGGTTAACAACGGGGTCCATGTGGTTTCCAGATGTGTTTTCTAAGGTGTTTTTACCGAGCATTAAGCCAGAGCTACAGCACACAATGCAGCAGATCTGGTTAACTGATACAGGCTAAAGCAATGCAACCCTATATAGGAGCTGGGGCATTTGTGGGCTGAGATAAAAAGCACCAAATTAGCACCATTGTGAAATGATGCTTTATCAGGATTAAACAACCTGCCAGTGTATCCCACTGTTAACATTTCAAGCAGACAGTCTCGTCATGTCATTCACTTCCACCTTCGTGAAGATTATTCAACATAAAATAAAACATAATAAATTGTTCTGAAACATACTATATGATCTTTGTTCAAACTTAACAGCAGGAATAGAAACAATTATAATTTATATTTAAAACACTGAAAGAAATTAAATATATTCATACACAGTATATATAAGGAATGAGGGTTTTAAACAATTGCTACCATATCGTAGCAGCCTTATAATGGCCAGTCAAGCATTTTGGTTCATATTAGAAAAAGATATTTAATGATTCCCTTTTTTTTTTCTTTGAAAAACTAAATTAAGTTGTTATTCCTGTTGCTTCTTTCCTTTATTCTGTTCCTGGCTTTAACTGCAAACACAAAGAAAAGAAAATCACAACACATTGCGAATATTATTTTGAAATGTATCAGTAAGTTTGTAAAATACTCTGTAGGGTTTCTGCTCTCACCATCAGTACACTCCACTCTTGGTTTCTCCCACTGCCCGTCAGTCTGGCACCGGACCACTGGTAGATGGCGCTGTCTAAATCCTGGGTTGCACTGATAACGGATGATGGAATTGACAGGATACACCAGCCTCCTCTTTCCAAAAGTATGAGCGTGTTTCACCACTGGTGGGGCTCCACAGGACACTGCAGGCATAAAAAGCCAACTGGGTCACAATTCTTGTGAAAAGGAACAAGAAGTTTTTCCCAGAATGACTGCAGAAAATATGCTTTTTTCACTATGCAGGGACAATATGGGGACTTAGAGAGTTTAGGTTAGGTGTAGGGTTTGGTATGCGATTGTAATAGTTAGGGTAAGGTCATGGTTAGGCTGTAGAAATAAATGCAGTATGAACGGAAGTCAATGGAAAGTCCCTACAATGATAATGGGACAAAATCGATGGTTTTAGTTGCAATGACTGTTAAATCGTCTGCAGGACAGCTGACAGAAATCAAAGCAGGAGATAAAATGCTTTTTACAGCCAGCATACCTGGTCCTTTCTTGCAGGTGAAGGGCAGGTGATAGTTGCAGGGAACATCGTTCCATTTGCCGTTCTCATGCCAGATCATCACCACACAGTCCTCTTTTGAATTAAAGTAGTTATCAGGCTGATTCAGCTTCCAGTTCTCGTATTGCTAAAGAAGATGTGAGAGGAAAACATGGCAACATAATTCATCATAGTGACATATATATTTTTTTTCTAATGGGCATTTTTAACCATATTTTCATAAACTGTGTATTATAGAAAAATTAAAATCAGTTAAGTAAGCCATATATGGAGAACCACAATTCTTTGAAAAATAAACATCATCATTCCAAACCTTACAAATAGGCTTCCATATATAAAAAAGTACTAATAGCCAGAGGTGTCAAATTTTACTTAAGTACACTTTTTAGGTATCCATACTTTACTCCATTACTTATTTTTCTTCCTACTTCTGACTTCTACTCATTACATTTATACACAAGTATCTGTATTTTCTATTCCTTACATTTTTAAAACAAACGTTACTCGTTACCCTTAGGTTTAATGTTTATAAATATTTATTTCAGGTCATGTGCGCCATCCAATGCAGATCATTGGCACCATCCACATGTCTGAAAGGTCGGACACAGGTGAGAGCGCATCGGCAGATGGAGAGGAAACCAACAAGACCTCCTTCATCCTTGGCCCTATCTCAAAGAATTTTTAGAAATAGTCAAAAAATCGAGCTTTCAATTCGTATAGCGGCATCTGGCTGTTTTTTAAAGGTCACTTTATACATTTATACTTTAAGTAGTTTTTAGAACACATACTTTTTCACTTTTACTTAGGTAAAGAGATCAAGGTGATACTTCCACTTTTACCAGAGTTTTTTTTTTTTTTTTTAAGTATCTATAATTCTATTTAAGCAACAAATGTGTGTACTTTTGACACCACTGCTAATAATCTGTTTGTCTGACCTTACTTTATCCTGTGTAGGTGCTCCTGTTTACAGAAAACATATTTTTTCTTGCTGCATATTCGTTTTTTTCTTATTTTATTTTTTGTTTTCCCAAAGGAGTAAAGTATTGTTCTCAAGTCTTTTCCCACCACTCATCCTTGCCGTGGTAAACCCTGAATTGAGCAGCTGCAAGAACAGGCCTGTTGTTTCCTTTTTATACATGTGGGTTATTTTATTGTATCTTAGTAATTTATAATGATCTTTCATGAGCAAGAAAGCATATATTAATATTTTAATAACGTTTTATATAAATCTTGCAATGTTATTAAGTAAGACAATTTGTTTTTATACTTCTTTCAGTCCTTTGTTGTCACAATGTAATTGTTTGCATGTTTAATTTTCATAGATTTTAACTCTATAAACTATCAAAAGTCACGAGAATTGTATTTCTGATGTAGAACTGTATTGTGGCTGTTGCATTTTCTTTGACTATGTAGTAAAACCTACTTATGATGACAAGTTATTATATGTGAATGAATTGTGTGTCATGAAGCTTGAATATCTTTGCTCTTTCTTGTTCTTCTTAATGTTGGTCGGTTTTTATTGTTATTGTTTTTGTTTTGCTTTTCTACATTGTTTTTGAGCTTTTATTTATGGCTGCTGTTTTATTGGTTACCTTGTTGCTTTCAACCAATGAGTGTTTCAAAATTATTTTGTTAATAACTCCTTTTGTAGAGTTTTTTTTTTCTGTCTTTTGATGTTATTCTAAAAGGTTTCCAGTCACTTTGTAATGGCTCCTCTTTATCATCAATTTTTTTTTAAATGTTAATTAAACTCCTAAAACTCCACTGTAATGCTTATATTCACCAGCGGAGTGCCATCAGTCCACTGGAAATCATTCTCCACTGTTTTGTCATTCAGGCCAATCCACTGGTAATCCTGCATATTTGCTGTTGAGGAGAAACACACACAGTTGTTATTTTTTGCATTTATATTTTTATTACCCTTCATTGTTCCTCTTTTTTATCCAATCATACTCAACATCAACCACTCACCGCTAACAAACTGTTGCTCCTCTGGTGTGATGATGCTGACAAGGTGTGCATTCAAGTCACGGCAGCGTTTCTCTGCATCTAACCACTCCTCCCTTTCAGAGAAGTGCAGGTAGCAGTTTCCCTGAAACTTCGTCCAGCCATCTTCACACCACTGCTCCTCTGCAGCAGTGAAACAAATTATATCAGAAAGTACCTTACAGAACTAAAGCTAGACTTTGTCTTTCAGGGTTTAAAGTTTCATCCATATGTATTTAGGTATAATAACATTGTGATGATTCTAATTATATCCCTCCATTTTAAAGTCATACATAACGAATAGTCTTTTAATTTTGAAATAAAAATAATTCCCATTTATGCTACTTCTTAAGTTGATAAAGACTTAATTTGTCCTCTTGCTAAAATTACTTTGCTGTGTTATTTCTTCAAAATGATTACTTAAACAGATTTTTTTGTACAATTTTATCCTGAAAATAATAAATCATCTTAACAAATGCAAAACAAAATTTTTCACTAAAAAACAAGGCCTACAAAATAGTTCATATTCTTACACTCAACTCTAAAAACTTTGTACTCAACTTTCCCAGAAAGTATAACTCAAGACATAATTTGGTGTCTCAGATAAAGAAACATTTAAAATCCAAAAAGCTAACCCTCAAGCAAAACAACTTTTAAATTACAAAAATGCTAAAGTATCTTGGATGTTAAAGGTATATTGGAGGATTTTCTGGAATTTTTGAAAAGACCCGTCCTCTCTACTTTAAAAAAAAAATAAACATGCACAACCCTGTACCCCCTCCCCAGAGGGATCACTTATTAAACGTGTGCGAGAGCATGCAAGAGCCCATTTCTCCTCGTGCACGCCATGTTTAAAAGTTGCTGTTTGCATCGCTCACACAAGCTTACTTTCCAAAAGAAGATTTTCAAATTTTCCACTATGTCAGACTCTCCACCTGTAAGTGAAAATGGCTACGAGCATATAGGACGGCCTTACATAAACATATCACCAGAATGATTGACAATTAGGAGGACAACTTATTTTGATGATCCACCTGGAAGAAGAACATCCTCCATTCTACCTTTAAAGGAAAGCACTTTGGGAATGCTAGGATAGGAAACAAGAGCTTGAAAAGCTGCCTTTAAGTTTTCAGAAAGTATTCTTTAAAAGTTACAGCTACAACTTTTCCTTCAAAATAATATTTTCAAAAAAATAACACCTAGAGTGTTAAAGAATAAATTTTACCAAAATAATACTGTATAAAAAATTGTTTTATAAATTATGATAGGTCCAAAATGTATAAGTTTTTCCCTCTGGTTACAACGTCAATGTTGGGATGAAAGAATCCTGCACCAATAGGAATATTTGTAGAAGGTTGAAGAGGAAGGTCAGATACTAGATCTCGGTTGCTCCATGACAGAGCTGAGAAATAGTTTCTTCTCTGTGTTACATTTCTTAAATTCAAGCAAACCAAAACAAATGAGGGCTTGAAAGTAACATGCTTATGTTATGTACATTACATAAAAATATCAAGATTATAGGAAGCAAGCTAGACATTGTATTAAAATAATGTGTATCTTCCTAGTAAATGAGCAATAATTTCCAAGAAATAACAGTAAGTTCTTTAAAAGCTCCTCTTGTTCATAAGGGGAGTATCTTAAAAGTTCCTGAAAAACCTTTAAAACATAACAAAGAAACTTTTTACACATTTGGGAAAAAGTATCTGGTAAGTTTAAGAAACTGTAGAAGTTCTGGTAAAGTGTCAAGCACTATTTAATCCACAAGTTCTGCGAAATCCCTGGAAGGAAACCCAAGAGAATGGATGATGCTGATCCAATCCAGTATTGCTATCGCTTCTTATTTCAGTCCAACCAAAGGACATTTCCAATCCAAAAGCTATGTCTGGACTTAATGACATTTGTCTCAACACTTTTTGCTGACAGCTGCTCTGCAAGCTGGCTGCTAACCAAAACACATTTCCTTAATGGACGTGGGTCCCATGACAAGTGAAGTGAAAAGAGTACATCCATGTTGTGGTTGGCAGCCAGCTAAAAGAGGCACATAGAGCATAGCACTATTGCTAACTTCTAATCACAATATACTACTGCATAAAAATATTTGACGCTACAAGGTAAAACTACAATTTGAAACATTTGCAAAATTGTTATACTGAGAGTTACTGTACAGCAGAGGCTCCTTTCCGACCCAAAATATAACAAACTTATTTAAACATTTGAAAGAACATCCGTTTGAAGAGCACAGGGAGAACAGCAGCGGCAAAAGAAATCTCTTCTAGTCGTTTTTAAAACAAGGCAAACTTCCAGCTACTGGAACTAATATGGACGCTTACATTTTTCACATTTTTTGTCGCTAAGCCAATTTGTTTCATTTGGACCATTCATTTTTAAACAAGCTTAGTACTTTATTTGAAAAAGGGTAGAGTAAAAAATAATAATGATATTGAATTTATTTGTAATGCATTTGCTACATTTAAAAGAATATAAAAACAACAAAAAAAAATTAAATCAGGCGAGATTAAAGTAAAGTTAGGATAAAGATTTCTTGAATAGTAGAGAGGTTCGCTGCTTATGGCTATCTGTGTTGAATTTATTAAAGACATTCAGTGTAAATATATTTTTTTCAGGGTGGGATCTTTCCTGTTAACACCACTACTGTTTTTTGTTTTTTTTCTTTTACATCATCTGCTGACCTTATTCTAATCTAAAGTCACCTTTTTGAATATACGTACATACTTACATTAGTTTATGTCATACTTGCCAGTAGAAAGGAGTTTATTACACCCTCTTAAAACACAACAATAATGATGTTTTAATATTAAGGCAAACAGAACTCTAGCATTAGAACAGGATCCATATCTAGATATTTAAATTCAGGCCTTGGATCAGATCACAAGTGAAAATAAATAAGAATAAGAATTTTTGTTACCCTACAGGTAAGAACTTGTGAAATAGACCATAAGTCCTGGCAAATAACCAAGTAAATACTAGGAAAGTAACCTGCAGGTCTTGGGTAAGAGCCAGGTACTGGTTTCAGGAAATTAAACTGTACCTTCCAGGAAACCACGGTAAAGGAACACAATATGTAACTGCTGCCTAATGCAGGTAACATGACTGCAAAAAAATCACCTTCTCAAATAAAAACAGGTGTATTGAAGGGTAGTGTTTTTAATTATACAACTTTAAAAAATAAGTAATATAACAAAGATAAAGAAGTGTCCCTTTATTTTTTTACTCCTGCAGGTATAGGGCTATGGTATATGTTGGTAAACACACCCAGAAGTCATACTTTCTTAACTTCACCATCTCTATGGTTGTTTTTGACTGGTAGTTGTTAGTATTTATTAGCTGAAGCTGATCTCGTACCGATATCACAGCGTTCCCCTCTGTAGCTGGGCAGGCATAAGCATTTGAAAGAGTCTGAACTCTCCACACAGGTGGCTCCATTGGCACAAGGGTTTGGATGGCACACTTCTGCCTCTGGAAAAAATGGTGGGCAGTTGACACTAGCGTTTGAGCGAGGGTTGAAAGTGGGGTTGGGGTGGGGGGTGCACTACCAAGCTGAGGTAATTTAAGATGTGATCAAAGGGCTTTCACATCTCCACAAAAAGAGGTTTGAAATAGTAATGGTACGTTCTACGACTTTGGATTCAAACTTACAGTTAGAACTTTTGGAGGTTGCTTTGAATGAATCCATAGTTGCAGAAACAGATTAGTTTGTTTGGGGGTTTTAGATTGGGGTAGATGAAACTTCAGGAAAGCCAGAATGAAAGCACAGGTTTAAAGTAGCAGAGCATAGCAGAGCAAAGGCAATGTGCTGGCAGAGCAGACCAAAAAAACAACATAAACATATACAGTATGCCAAACATGATAAACATGTTTTACATGAAACGAGCAGAGCTGATGCTTGTTTAGACTAACATTCTGAATGATAAACCCAAGTCACATTTACGAACAATAGAAACAAAACAGAAACGTTGGTGGGATGCAAACCACAGTAGGACAAATCAACAATGCGAGGTTTGATGGGAAATGTGAAGTGAGACTGATTGATAAACCCAGTCCATACAGCTAAGTCTAATGAACAACATGCAGAACAACAATGCACATGCAAATAACAAACAGAATTTATCAACAAAGCCACAAATTATAAAACAAAGTGGGAAGAGGAGAATGAATTCCTAGCTTACCATAGCAGTGAGCATCTCCTTCCTCTAATATGCATGAAGCATTACCGCAAGGGTTTGGTTCACATGGATTTGAGGCTTTCGAGACAGAAAAAAATCCTAAGTTAGGTACTGTTTTTATTTTTTCTTTATTAAATATCAAATTTTGAAAATCATTTAACAGATTAATTCCTCTTCACTTAATTTCCAAGGGCTGGATCTCCACCTTAACATCAGGCATTACCTAAACACCTACTCAACAATTACTAATCCATTAACTTAAATTAGATATATGGTATACTAGACAGGGAAAGCATCTAATACAGGCAGAGAAACTGATCCAGTAGAACGGATTAGGAGCTCTATATTAAGTGACTTGTATGTTCTTCCACTAGAAGTAATTAGAGAAAAATGTTTACTATGCACAACTGCCTCCTTGTCAGGATGGTTGCATTACAGGAAGAAGGTTCTGACCCTGAAGCTTGGCCAGCGTTCTTTGCTTGCTCTTCCCTTGAAAGCCTTGAAGGTCTTTCCAGGTATTCCAGCTTACTCCTACAGGCCACACCAATCATATTCGGTTAACTTGTGACTCTTAAGCTGCCCTTAGGTAGTCCATGAGCATTTACCAAGTTTTTCAAGCTGTTTTACCCTGTAATAGGCTGGCCGACAAGCATTGCTACTTTACAATAAGCCTAGTTTGTTTATTTGGAATGTCTCCGGATCTTTTGTGGTACTCCAGCTTCTTCTGGTTTGGCACGAACCCTGCAAGGCTTGAAACTAAAATTTCAGGCACAGACAACAGATGGAAAGATTAATGTTTACTTTTCCAGATTTACAAAATATTTCTTTCTATTTTTCTACACTAAAAAAGAATTATTAACGTATACTTGGCATCTACATTCCAAAAAAGTAAAAAAAAAAAAGATCCACTGGACTTTGTTTCCAAGTTTGAAGAAGTTTCACTTACAATCCAGGGCACGTCTTGAAACTTTAAAGCAAAGTCAAATGGATTGTTTTTTTACCTTTTTTGGAATGGCTATGACTTTGATGACTGAAAATCTTCACCAGCATTTTCCATCTACATAAGTATATTTAATTATTTTAACACCATTGTTTTATGTTAACAGGGTGGCACATCTGCACTCTGCAGTTTGCCTTTAGAATGCTAGAGATAGGCACCTGACCCACTGTGATCCTAATGGATTATGCAGGAAAGGAGAAGATATATGGATGGTTTCTAACTGGTAAATGTTCTTTATCAGTGATACAGGCACGCCTACTTAATCTAAACAAACAACCAAAACAAAAAACGATTGTTTTCCTAATAGGTGCAAATGGATACCTGGTAAAAGTCCTGTAGTAGTCAGCAACATTTTCCATTCCAACTATTTGAGTACAAAATAACAAGCAATACCAAGATTGGCAAAATATGAAAATGATCAATATCTTCAGGCAAAAGCATGCAAACAGAGAAAGAAAAAATTAGGTTGGCATACCTTTTATCACCTCTGGTGTTTGCACAAAAGCTGGCTTGGCTTCTGCAGAAGGAGCAGCTAGTCCTGCAGGCACTAATTCTGGACCTGGAGTTACATGAACTCTGGAGTTCTCTATCAGTTTGGCTTCATGTGTGCTGTCCTCTGTTTCTGTGATGGGCTCTGTAAGTACTTGGTCGACTGATGGAGCAAGTAAAGCCACCATCGATAGATTGGAAAATTCTTCTGAAGAAGAAATCTCTGAGGTGAAGGAAAGGTCCTTTTCTCCATCACCAGAGTAGAAACCACTTGCTTCTCCACTGTATTCTATTAAGTATTCTCTTTGTTCTGAAGGAACTTTATCATCTCCAGTTATTTCTGTCCTTTGACCCTGAGTGAGAAATGTAACACCATCTTCTCTGGCTGTATATGTTCCAGATCCAGAGAAACTTGATCCAGAATCAAAACTTAAACTTGAGATTCCAAATCCAGAAAATGTTCCCTCGCCTCCCTCTCCAAAGCTGTAGAATAAACTGCCAGAAGCTTCTTCATGCTCTCCAGATGGTGACACAAAAAGTTCAGTAAAGCCTGAACCCATAAAGGTCACACTATTAAAAGGGTCAGTTTCAATACCAGAGCTTGACCCACTGTGAATCCCAGATCCTGGAAAGTCTCCAGAAACGCTGGAAGTCAGTGGACCTCCACTAAGCATGAACTCCTCCATGGCAGTAGTTGGATCCATCAGTTTTTCATCTATCAAAAAAATGTGAGCATCTCCACTTCCAGAAATGTGTCCTGATTGTTCAATTTCACTTCCAGAGGCAGATCCTGATAGAAAACTACTCACCGAATCCAATCCTGATCCAGATCCAAACCCGGACATATCTCCACTTCCACTAAGCTCTCCAGAAACAGCTCTAGACCAAGGGTAGATAAAAAGTTCTGTGCTTCCCTCTTCGGCCTCTTGAGGTTCTCCTGAAGAAGAGCGTTCTGTTGATGCAAAGCTGTCAGCTCCAGAGAAAACCACTGTGATGCCAGATCCTTCTTCAATAAGTCCTGACTCTGGATCAATTGCACTGCCCAAACCTGATCTTCCACTGGGCAGCACAGTCCTTGTAGCACTAACCTGGTCTCCAGAACCAGAAATACCTCCAGAGGTAACCTGGTCTCCAGAACCAGACAGATCTCCAGAGGTAACCTGGTCTCCAGAACCAGGCAGATCTCCAGAGGTAACCTGGTCTCCAGAACCAGTCTGATCTCGAGAGGTAACCTGGTCTCCAGAACCAGGCAGATCTCCAGAGGTAACCTGGTCTCCAGAACCAGTCTGATCTCC